AGGATTAAATGCAATAATACCTTTGATAAAAGCTCAAGGTAAACACTCAACAGCTCCTAGCTCCTTTAAAGGGTACGTTTATAAATGCTATTTCCCTCATCAAGATCAATGGCTTGCCCTCATTCCTGGCATAAAATCCCCACTCCCTCCTTTAGTCAATGTGACCAAAATGTGGCCCTCCTCTCTCCCGCCACCATCCAACTCACTCACCCCCTCGGCCTCCCCAGTCCTCTGTCACTTCTACCAGCACCAGCTCCTCCTCTGAGCATCCGCCCATGCTGTTCCCTTTGCCAGCTCTTCCAAGGGCTCACTCCTTGTTCCATTCAGGTCTCAGCTCAAAAGTCACCTATCTGTTCACCTGCCCACTCACTCAGTGTCAGCTCCATGGGGCCAGAACTTCTCCTGTTCACCCCTGTATCCCTAGTGCCTAGAACAGAGCCTGGTTCACATTAAATACTTACTTGGTATTTTTTTAATGAATGAAGTTACTTTTTTCTGGAACCAGTATTTCAATAATACCAGCTAATACAGTCTAAGACGGTGCCTTCCCCTCGTGAAAACCCAGAGCTCCCAAACATACCAGAGGTGCCCCGTTACTTTGTCATGCTTGCTGCCATCACTGTTGCTGCTGTGATGCGTGTGTTTAACCATAAAGGTCCTGACTTTTCGCTAAGCAAATGAATGCATTGCCGCACTCAGCTAAGGCTCTTGACTGGCCTGTCAACCAACCAATCAGCTTTCAGAGAGAAGATTCCCTTTCACTTTGTGAGGGGCAGAGAGACCAGCCCATCAACTCACTGGCTGGGATCCCACCACCTTGCTGCCACCTCATTGTCCCTACCACGCCCAGGGTTGAAAAGGATAGAAAAGGCCAGGCTGGGGGGGGGAGGGGGATGCCTGGGACAGAGAGGTTGGCTGCAGAACCAGCAAAACAAGATACAAAGTCAAAACTGCGGGGCTGAGGCCTGGCAGAGGAAAAACACAAACGGGGTCAGAAGACTGTGTGCTAGGGCCACCAACTAGCCATGACACCCCTGTTAGGGGCTGAATCAGGTCCTCCCAAGTTCCCACGGGAAAGTCCTAACTCCCAGCACTTGAGAATGTGACCCTAGATGGACACAAGCTCTTTAACGTGATAACTAAGGCTAAACGAGCTCATTAGGGTGGGTGTTAATCCAACGGGACTGGTGTCCTTGTAAAAGGGGGAAATTTGGACACAGACACATTCAGAGGGAAGATGACGGGAGGACGCAGGAGAAGATGACCATCTACAAGCCGAGGACAGAGGCCTCGGAAGAAACCAACCGGCAGACACCTTGACCTGGGATGCCCAGCCTCCCAGACTGTGAGACAATGAAATTCTGTTGTTTCAGACCCCCAGGCTGTGGCACTGAGCTGCAGGGGCCCTGGCAAACTCACTCACCCGGCAAGTCATTAACCACCCGGAGCCTCCGCTTCCACAACTGCCAAACGAGAATACCTGGCCTGCCGGCACTAGGATGCCTAACTTCACTCTCAGAGGGGAGTCTGGGGGCTCTGGGCAGAGAAGCAGGTGAAGTCGTAAGACATGAAGACTGGGGGGTCACGGTTAGAGGTGTAAGAGCTGGCACAGTGCCTTGGTCCTCTCCCCTGCGCCCCCCACGGTTCTTTAGTGGGCGTGGGAGAAACAGAGTTTCGGGGGAGAAGAGTGAGGAAACAGAACAGAAACTAAAGATCTTTAAGAAATTAAAAAGAAAACAGGACTGCAGTTAAGTCCCTGGAGTTTGCTGGATAAAAGCACTGCCTGGTATGTATGGTACTCTGCAGGTCACAGACATTGATGGCAGTGGGGGTTTTCCCAGCCCATCTGAAGTCAGGAATCCCTCTGAGAGTCTAATGAGAGCTATGCACGCCCCCATAAAATAATAACCCCCCACGTACCACATTGTACCATCCTGGTCCTACCCTGCAGTGGCGAGTGTCCTGTGTCTGCACACACAGACACAGGTGCCTATCGAGCACCTGACATGTGGCTGGTGCGACTAAGGAACTGAATTTTCACGTTTTTTTTTTTATTTCCATGACTTTTAATTTAAACATCCATCTGTGGCTACGGCTTTTGTATTAGGCAATGTAGTGCCAGACTGTTCCAGAGAGTTTACAGAGCCCCGGGAAATACCCTCGACAGTGGACCCCGAGTTAAGAAGCACTTACGATGATGACACCATCTTCATAATACTCCCCCTTTTTGCGCTCACCAGCACATGGACTGTCTCGCTCAGTCCTACCGACGGCCCAGTGAGAGAGCAGAGCACTTACCCCTATTTTATGGATGTGGCCCCTGAGGCACTGAGAGGCCTGCCAATTTGCAGGTCTAGGCCACTGAGGACTGTCTGATGTGAGAACTCAAGCTCTTTCCTGACCCCCCCGAAACCAGTCCAAGGCGGTTATGAATTGAGATGAATGGAGGTCTTCTCCATATGAATGGAGGGAGATTATTTCGAGTCACCCAAAGAACTTCAATTCGCCCTGGTACCCATGTAAGAAGGGCTTCTCGTCTTCTTGAAGCCTCCAGCAGGGACTGGACTGAGGCCAGCTTGACCTTGATAATGGAATGTTCTTCCATTCAGGTTCCTCTCTGGCGTTCCCTTGGGAGACACACAGACACCCTGCTCCCCGTTCGGCCTGCAGGATTCCCAGGAGCAGTGGAGAAGCCAGGAGACTCTGGTCACTCCAGACGCCTCTCAAATAAAGAACCTGGGAACTTCACGCTGGGAGAACACTCTTTCTCTGCCTTCCCGATAAAGAAGGCCCCCGCTCAAGGTCGAGAAACGCCAAATACAGACGTCTTCACAGAGCATGTGACCCACCCCAGTCCCACCATACATCAGTCTTCAGGTTTCCATGGCAACTGGGCCAGAGGGAGCCAGAGCACTGAGAAGTTCATAAAACTCGCCCTTATCCTGCACTCTGTATCTCTCCCACTTCTAACCTCTAGAACGTCCCCTCGTTCACCAGGCAGATTGAGATTTGTTTTATCAGCCTAAAATCCTGCTTTAGCTCTTTCTTCCTCAAAATAACGCCTCCAAGGCCCAGCCCAGATCCCACACACCTTCGTGAAAACGTCTAACCCACAGGCCCGCACAGCCCCAGAAGACGCTGCTTACACACCTGCAGAACACCTTTCCTGTCACAACTCGAGTCACTTCCTGAGCACGAGATCCATACCACGTGCCTCTTTAGAAATTTCTGACCACGTTCCACACAGCCTGACAAGAAGTGAACACTCAGTAGACCTGCGGCTCCCAAGCTGTTAAAACTCAGAAGCCCGGGCCCCACCCCAGAGGTGCCAATTCCGCAGGTCCTGGGGGAGGCCCGGGAACCTGCACTTCTAACAGTCCCAGTTTGTACTGATGCTGCGGGCCCAGGGACTGCGCTTTGAAAATCACTGCAGGAGATGGCCGTGGGTGAATAAATGACTGACTGAATGAAAATGTCCCTTAAAATCAAGGTAAACAATATTAGCAACATTTCCTTCTAGGTGAGGAGCAAAACACAGCAGGGAGCCAGAAGGAGGATGTTACATATCAGAGAAACTTCAGGGTTATCACCCTTTTGTGTTCTCTTAGCTCTCCCTGTAGAACTTGCCATGATCAGACCAGAAATTAAAAATAAGTTCACTATTCTGACTGTGTGTGTGTAGATGCAGAGAGAACTACCTGAAAATACGTTCACTAATAATCCTCATATAGGGATGTTGAGACTTCCATAAACTTTACAATTTTTGTAACTCTGTATTATATGTGAACTTATTTTTCCTGTAATCATGTATCAACTTTATAAAAATAAAGCTACATAGTAATGTAGAAAGTTATATACACACATATACATAACCTCACGTTACACACACATGTATCCTCAAGAAACACTTAGAAAGTCCAGGTCTCGAAATTTTTCATAAGAAAATGATCAGAAGTGAATGTGAAAATGATGTCCAAGGAGGGCCACTAAAGCCCTGTTTACAATAACCAGAAACTTGAAACAACTTAAACGTCTGACAAAAGGAATTAGATTCAATAAATTATGGTATTTCCTTAAGTGGAATACTGTAAAGTATTTTAAAATGTCCCTGTAGGGGATATTTACTGACATAGGAAGAGATGCGTAATACAAAAAATGCAAACCAATTAACCTAAAAAACAGCATCGACTATATGACCTAACTTTGGACAAAGGCACATACAGATACACAGAAGCAGATAAAAATATAAATATGGACAAAGAGCTTTCTATCAAACTGGGAGTTAGAATAGAAACTATTTTTTAGCATGAGTATTTTAACTATTTCTGCAATAAACACATACATTGCTTCTGTGGTATTTTTCTAGGAAATTTTTTAAAATGAGAAGCTGCGGAAAATTTATACCTGCCATTTCTCCCCATGCGGGACCAAAGAAAGAGGTTGAAGCTTGAGCACTTTCATAAGCTTTCCCCCTCCCTGCCTTTCTGTAAACACCAGGTACCACTTGGATCTATTTGCATCAACAGATCCCTCTTTTTTCCCCAAAGTTTTCTGGACCTGCTTCAAAGGTCATTCCTAACTCAAAGAGCCTAGCTTTGAGTAACTCACGCCGCCGCCCCCTGAGCATCAGCTTCGGGGAATGACATTTACAATGTATCCCCTGTTACTTGGTCACCCAACAAACTTGGCCATTTTTTCAGAAACCACGGCTGTCTCACATACCGGCTCTCGAGAAGGTGGGTTGCTTAGCAACCGCCAAGGAACTGGGAAGCCGGAAGAAGGCACCCGTAGGAGACAGTTTACGACCAAAGTGAGCTGTGCTACGGGTGTCTGGTTGTATTCAAGGTAACCAAATAAGAGATAACACCCGGCTATTTTTGCATCATGAGAGGAAAAATACTTGGCTCCTGCCCAGAAAGGCAATTACCTAAAAATCTTGGCAGACCTCGTGGTATGAGAAATGGTAACTGATACGAGGATGGGGAAAAAAAATCACTGACCTTCATAAATACTGATGATATGAGGATGGTTGAGGGATGACATAATCTCGATCTCTCGTCTGATGTGAACCATGTCTTGCTCATCCTTAATTTTGTCCTTACGAATGGACTTTATAGCAACCTGTAAAATCAGGAAATGAAATGTTACTCAGAGAACTGAACGGATGCAAATCAGCCATTGGGAGAGTTTGGAAAATAAGTACAGATGTTAGGTGTTGGCAGAATCGATGATAACCAAAAAAAAAAAAGAAAAAGCTTCAAAATACCCGCGTTGTGCCTTCCCTCCACAGCAGAAACATCCTTCTCCCGACAACAGACAACATCAGGTTTGCACAGCCTGGGGTCTGGGAGGGTGAGTTTGTTTGTTTGTTTGTTTTTCCCCACAAAGCAGACGCTGCTTCACGGGGCCAGGTTCATTAACTCTAGGAATCCTGATCCTTTGAAAAAGAAAAAATGGAGGGCTCGGTTTACAGGGTATCAATGAGCAAACACGGCAGCGAAATCAGTGTCACTCAGCTCCTCCGGCAGCTACCACGGCACTGGCCGAGGCGAGCTTTCCTGTCCAGCCCAGCTGGAGGCCACGTCCACCCAAATCTTGGGTTGTAAAGCTCCAGGTTACGCCTTGTTCATCCACAGGCTCAGAGACCAAATCCCCGACACCTTTCCTCTTGCCCAAGGCACCTTCAGCAGTTGTGACCAAAGGGCTGCCCCAGGGGACAATCCAGGGGAAACTGAGGGAGTGACAGCTGGACTCTTGCCCAGCCCCAGGAGATTCCCAAAGCTCCAGACCTGCAAATCCGAACCAGTGAGAAGCACCGGGGCTGAGATACGGAACAATTACTCAAAAGAAATCCATAAATAAAAAGGCATTAAATGACAGTGGGAATCCAATAAGGAAAATTATACTTGCCAATGGATTCATCTTTGCTCATGAGCAGGTTGGTGGGTCATTTAATTTGCCCTGGCTCTAAGAGGGGCAAAAACTACTCAGGTGGGGGAGGCATCCACGGGTAGCAAGGAAGCCAGCCAAGCAATGTGCTCTCTGCTCCAAAAGCCTGAGTAGTGACCCCCACCCTGGTGTGCCTGTGGCCTTCACTCACCTGCCCCTCACTTTCCCGGATAAAAGCGGTTAAACCTGGCTCTGGATTCCGAAGCCATAAAGTGCTCCAAAGAAAACAAAATGTCCTTGTTATCAGCAGCCCAGGGTCACACCTGGACTCTCACAAGGCGAACCGCAGTAGCCTCGGCAGGCTGGTAATCACATCCGCGGACATTCACGGTCCTGGCTTCCACTGCCCGCCCACCTCAAACACTATACATGGAAACAATTCTAAAAGGCAGTGAGTCCATCAGCAATGTGACAAGAACTGCGAAGCTATTTTTACTGTTTTTGCTGTTTACTGACCTCCCCAAAACAGGTCGCATCAGCTAGCAGCTCCCTGTACTTTGTTGTGGAACCTTCCCCCCTTGTAATTAAATCAGATTTTGTGCCATTACTTGACTCCACACTAATGGGGATCGTACTCACTGCTTTATCTCAGAGCTTAACAACTTGCCTGGCACGTGGCAGGCCTGAGACAAGAGTGTGGGCGGGCAGGCAGGTAGACAGGTAGACAGAATGGGAAGGAGAGGAGGGGGGGCAGGGAGGAGAGACAGAGGGGGGGAGGCGGGAGCTGATGCTCTGAGGTGAGGAGAGCTCGGACGAGGGGAGCGATAGGGAAACTGGCACAGAGAAGACGAACCGCTTCTGCCAAACTAACCCCCGAGACAGGCACGGTGGGAAGACGACTTGGGATTTCGTGGAGATCCCACCTACTCGGGTAATCGAGGAATGAAGAAGGCACACAGGAAACACGGGACACTCTGCTGGATAAAAGACGGCTGGCTGCACAGACAAGAACCGGCCGCCAGCTACAAGGCCCCTTTTCACCCCGGGGGCCAGGCTCAGAGTTACCCCGGCCCTCACGACAGCCCCATTCAGGAAGTAGCCAGAAAAGCCTCTGTGGGCTTACGTCAAATGTAAAGACATGACTGGAAGGCTTTATTTCCTGCAAGGGGGGCAGCGATCCTGAGAGCTGGTTCTTGGAGGCAGCAGACAGTGAACACACACAGGCCTGGAGGATGTGGGTGGCTGTTGGACCAACTCCTCCATTCCTCCAGGCACTAAAGATGGGAGGAGGGGCAAAACCACCCCTTTGATTATGCAGCCGGCTGAACTTGGCCTTGAGGGGACTCTATTGTCAAATGACAATAGGAAATACATTCTTTCACCATCCAGGGTCAGGGGAGGGTAGTGACATTCAAGGGGAGGTGGGGGGGGGTGAGAAAATAAGCCCCCTTGTCAATTCCCCCCAGCAGGAGCCAGAGGCCAGGGGGCTCACAGTGCCTTTGCCAGGGGGGTGCTTCCAGCCCAGTGTGAGTAGGGGGGCGCCCACATTCTAATGAAACCCCACTCAGCACTGAGGAAACTAAAAGGGCTCCATAAATGTTAATAAGCAGGGTAGCCGTCCCTCCACAAAAGCTTCCCTCTCCCAACAATGCATCTTCTATTGAAAATGTGAAAAAGGGCTCATTCTATCCCCTATTTCAAAGGGGGGGGGTCAGGAGGAGGTAGATGCCAGCACTCACTTAGAACCCTGTGACTGCCCACTGCTGGGAGGGAGGGCTTTCAGGTCAACTCCTGCAGCAGTGAGGTGACTCACCCAAGGTCACAGAGACAGTCAATGGCAAACCACAAAAATAACAACATAGGAATAATGGTGGGAGCACTTCACACTGGGCTAAGTGTGCCCCTCAATCTTCACAGCCTTCTCCTCGTTCAGGCTTCAGCTTCAGGCGCCCGACTCGTCAGGGAGGCTGCAGCTGATAAGGCCTCCCCAGCCAGCTCCTCTACACCTTTCCCCGTGTTATCTTTTTGGGAGTGTTTCACACCGTCTGAAATTATCTTGCGTCTTTGTTTGCTGCATATTCTTTCAGCCTGTGGGCCAAACCCAGCTTGAGGCCTGTTTAGAACTAAGAATGAGTTGTCACATTTTTAAACAGTCGTTGACAAAAAAGAAGGAGATCTATAACTGTAGCTGGTCATGGAATGTAGTGACCGCTTCATGAACTTGACAGATAAACTTGAGCCAGGGCACAGTGAAGTTGTATTGCATAATGGTTAACGATGTGGCTTTGATTCCTAGTTAAAATCCTTCACTAGCTGTGTGACCTTGGGCAGGTTACATTACCTCTCTGTGCTCCAGTTTCCTCATCTGTCAAGTAGGGAAATAAGGTACCAACTTCATAAATGCCTGCCTGTGAGGATGACATGTCAGGGGCTTAAATGTGCCTGGCCCAGGGTAGATGTTCAGTAAGTGTCAAACATGTTTAACCTGGAGAGAGTGCCCCCAAAATGGGGCCTTCCTTCCTTCCTTTCATCCTCAGAGCAAACCTGAATTCCTCCTGGTTTCTCACAAGGCGATGAGTGAAGGCCTTGGGAGTAGAAATCACTTTTGTTCCCAAAGACCCCACAGAACCAGACCATCTGTCTCCGGGGTCTTTATATTGTACCCTAATCTGAAATGTCAGGAAGCTCGGAGCAGCTGGGGCCCACCACATATGGCACCTGAGTCTGAGAGCAGACAAAAGATGACAAACTTGAACCTAGAACCATCTTCCCCCATCTCCGTCTTGGGGTCACCCATCCAGGTGAACAAGGAAATGCAACCTTCCTCCTTAGAATCAGAAGTTGGGCTCAAGCTATCCACTCCGCCTTTTCTGGATTTGTTCATCCCCTTGCTCCACGGAGCCCCTACCAGGTACCAAGCACGAATGTTGAGACAACACAGAGGCAGCCGGCATGACTCTGTCCCAGCCCTCAAGGTGGGGACAAGGGAGGGGGACAAGGACAAGACAGAAAAATTACACAATTACATACTCTCCCTTGTGACCAAAGGCTACCGAAGACAACCACAGAGATGCCAGCATTAGGGAAAAAAGATCCTCTCCAGTTTCCCTGCATCCTCCCCACATCTACAAAGAAAGACCGAAATAAGTGAAGGGCTCAGCAGGAAGAGATAACCAAATGTCTGGAATTATACACCCTCCAAAAGAACCTCCAATTTGTTCTAGCACGCGTCAGATTGCACTCCACCTTGAAAATGACTGGAGCAGGGAAGTCAGGTGTCTGAGCCCAATATGATGCACGGCAGCATCCATAGCTGTCCCCACGTCTAGACGGCACCGTGTGCCTTATAAAACAGTTCAATAAGGCCACCCCATCGCTTAATGTTTAAACCATATGCAGCAGCAGGTCCAGCTGCAGGGGCCTGCTAGCACTGCCCTGCAGTGCCTGTCTGTTTAAGAGGCAGACTCACTCAGCCCAGCCGATTCCCATCCCTTGTGAAACGTACGAGCCAGCCTCCTCTGCTGCAGAGGCAGGCGCTCCTTTTTGGGAATAATCGCCCCAAACCACCAGCTCTGCAGCCTTCCACCTTGGCTGCTGTGAATGGTTAAGAGCTCAGTGATCTTGGCAGGACAGTACAGGGAAAGCTTAGCCTTTCCCTGGCTGGCTGACCTCAGGCAAGCCCCCGCCTCACAGGCCTCAGTTTCCTCATCTGTAAAATGGGGTTAGCAAGTCGTACCTCCTGGCGTGGGTGTAAGGAGTAGAAATAACGTAAGTAACATGCCTGGCACACAGTGAACGGTGGTGACTATAAACGAGGCCTATTGGATAAGGGGTCCTGGGCCATGTCTGAGGGGGAATGAGCGCCCAGTGAATCATCTCACAGACTTCTCCCCAGCAGTTTCCCCCACACGGCTTCTCCTCCCTCTATTACACTGAAGGAAAAGCAGGTTAAAACTCATACCCAGCCTGCACGCCCGCACGCCGTCTCCCGGGCCTGCTCTGGAGAGGGGGCGACATCCCAGGCAGGTTGTGTGTACATCCGAGGCTCTAGCCCAGAGCGTCACTGCCCTCATCCCTCCACAGCCACCACCAGGGATGCTCAGTCACTTTCATGTGTCAGCCTGCATGGAGTGTTCTAGAATGGTGCCTCTCAAGCAGGGGTCACGGGCATCTTGTTAAAATGCAGATTCTGAATCCAAAGGCCAAAGGGGGTGCCTGGGATTCTGCATGTC